TTGGGCACGCGTATGCATACATTCAAACACATTTGACCATACAATTAAAGACAAAAATTCAACCAAAATTAAAGCCAATAATTTGAGCATACAATTAAAGTTGAAATGTATCAAAAGCTCAAGTTGATCTTTGAAACAAATAAAAAGGTAAAAGATAAAGAAAAGCAATGCAACTGAACTGAACAATCCTTGCTTTGGATATTCAGCCATCTATTGTTCAACTCTTATGAATATGTCAATACAACATTATAGATCAAAATATAAATTAGTTAGAGTAACTAATCCACTAATAAAACTGAATCGTCGAAGCCATTTATCTAATCTTTCCTCATCCATCAAGCATCGGATTGCATAGGTCTTGAAAGGAATGAACGAATCATAGTAGGATTCTTGGATAAGTTTTCATATATAACATCAATCTCTTCCTCAAATAATTTATGAACTATAATTAATTTTCTTTACTTAGTATCAGTTGTTGTGCTCTCGATTGCAGTAGCAACCCTACCAACACTATCTATTTGATGTTTTTCTCTTGATTGCAGTAGCAACCTAACCAACGCTACCTGCCATCATAACAAGGTAAGATGATGACATTTGTTGATTTATCTTTCTTGTGGTAATTTCTTTGATATAAACGTTTAGAATAATAGGAGCGTGTATTGCATCAACATCGGTCTGAATAAAACTTAGAAAGTCATCTTCTTCCAAGCTAATTTTTTGAATGTTAGAATTCCTAGATTTAGCCCAGTGTCCAGTTATGTGACATTCACCACAAATATTCTCCAACTCCATATAATTTGTGATTGGCACATTCAATTAAGCAGCATCTTTTGGAAAAGCTTGGGATTTTAAAAATAATAATAATTAGTCGTTTTTTAAGATGAATGCCAAGAAAATGATAATTGCTCTAAAAAATACTTGAATATGTGACACATACTACTCATGACCCATTCAAATTATTTTGTTATCCTCAATCCCACGATACACCCAATTTTTTTCTAAGCTGTTGAATGTGACCCAAATACTCCTCTGATGTCGGAGCTAATTTTTACACAGCTCTGTTGTTACATCTATTCCAAAGTGTTCTTTTATTTTTTGTCCAAAGCTTTGATCGATACATCTTTAAAACCTTGAACACTTTCTGTATTAGCATCCACATATTCTGATAGAATATGAAGTAAACCTACTATGCATTCTGGCTTTAAGATCCAACAAAATGTTTCCATTTCTTATTAGTTTTGGAAGAATAAGCATTAATTGGTTGCAGGGACTCCATGTGAAAACACCTACATAAAATGATGGCATTTATATGTTGCATCAAAGCGAAAATAATACAACAATAAAAAAATTCAACAACAATCCACAATGTCTTGTATAAGAGAAGAAGACAATAATAAGTCCATAACTGGAATAAGAAAAGAAAAAATGGACAAGACAATTCTAGTTGTTGGAAAAGCAATTCATCCATTTAATGCATATAAGCTAAAAACTAAAACAAATGACAAAACTCAACATATAAGAGACTAACCAATTACCTAAACATAAACTAGAATAAATGTTTTTGCAAATATTATGAAAAACACCTCCATAAACAACAATTACACAAAAAAAATTAATTATCTAACAAAAACACAGAGAAACTTAGAACCCAAAACAAAATTATTAATAGCCCTCATTAATCATGTGATTTCACATGGCATTAGCAATATGATCTCGTTTTTTTCCAACCAATCCCGAGAGTCATCTAATATTGATAGAGCCTTCTTTCTGTAGTGACTTCTTTCTACTCACTCATCTTCGAAAGAATAAACTCTTCTCTACCTTTTTTTTAATTATCCACATGTTTAGAACACCCAAATTAGCACAACACCAACTTGAAATTATAATGAAAAATAAGGCCCCAACTTCAATGCCACAAAGCAATTCTTCAATAAAACAAATGCACGCTTCAGATTAGTATGCAATGATGAGTGTCTGAGATTTAGGGTCCGTTTGAGATAACTTGTGCGTTTCAGGATAAGCTGCTTATCCTGAAACGCAGCGCGGCCTGCGTTTAGTGTAAGAATCCAAACGCAGTGTCAGATAAGCTGACGAAACGCGCGAACCAAACGGTACGGCTACGGCGGCGTTTTGAAAACGCCGCCCGCACTTATAAGCTGCCCCAAACGGACCCTAAATAATCCCTTATAATTTGAAGGTCGGCTGGAACTGAATTTTTGCAAGTGGCATCTTGCCGCATGGTATGACAAAATAAAATTATTTCGAGTGGAAAAGCCACCGTCAATTAAATAAATTTTTTTTTCTGAAATATTGACAAATTATTTTTTTTTCTGAAAATATTACATGTAATTATTAAACTAATAGTAAAAAATTAAGATACCTTTTAAAATATATAAACCAACAGACCCTTCTAATGCATTTTTAATGCTGTTGCATCATGTGTTGAACCATCCCAGCTACTGAAACATACGCGAATCTTAATTCAATTACGAAAAATGTGCCCCAAAGTATGTAATAACATAGTGACCTATTCCTCAATTATTACATTAAATATGTCAAAAAATAATCTTCTTTTTCGCATTAGACTACGCTCTTCTCATTCAAACCATATCAATGCAGTTGAAATCATTGTCATTATATAATCAAGATAGATATTTGATGTTGTATATTCTGCTCAGGATTGTAATTTTTTTCTGTATTAAGCTTGTACAAAAATGCAGTCATCATGGCTGCAACGATAGCAGTTGTCCGAGCAATTTGAACCATTTCCATGCCTCTCTCAAAATCAAACATATAAAATTGATGTTCTTCATTATCTTCCTCTTCCATCTTTAAACTAAAATCAACAAAATGATGAATACTGCCATAATCATAATCATAACTATTACGATTATTCTGATACAATAAATACTAACAAATCAAGCATCTTTTATTATAAGATTACAAAATATAACATCAATAAATAAAAAAATAAATAAATAAATAAAAACATTGAAACAAATAGCCTCTTAATGTTTTGTTAAATTCAAAAATATTAGAAGGCCAATGATCTTTTTGTAGGGAGGATGCCAAATTCAACATCATTCCAAATTCAGATGATTAAATCAAGTTTAAATGGGATGGTGCTTATATAGACTAGGATGCATTAGAGAGCGAAAAGAAGATACATTTACTTGCATACCGCTCAATTCCTGTGTATTTACATATTTAACACTTGAACTTTACTTTTTACATTTATACGACCCAAAAATTTCATATCACCTAAAAAAGATCACTTTTTTTTACTTCTTATATAGAAAAGATGGTATATATGTAGAAATTAAAATGTAATAAATACAAAGAGTTGCATGGTGTGCATGGAAATCTTACCAAAAAAATTCTTTTAGCAAAGCCTCTTTTAATGGAGAAATTATTGCGTACGGACACTGCATACATCTCTACATGCGGTGTCTGATCCTGACCGTATATCACGGCGATCTACGGTCAAGATATATTTCAGTTTTAAAAAAAAAAATTAGGTGGGGCCCACCAAAATACATCCTAACCGTAGATCAACTGATTTACGGTCAGGATCGGATACCGCATCCAAGGTGCATGCGGTATGCGTTCGCATGGAATAATTTTTCCTTTTAATGGGGTAAAACTAAATTATTTTAGTTTTGATCCCTCCGCTATCTCACATAAACCACTAAAAACTCTTTCTTAGCATTCTCTCTACAAAACAAGCTTTTTAAAATAAGATGAAATTCAATCACCCTCCTTTTGGCTAATTTACCTCTCCTTTTCTATTATTTCATGTTGGAGAAAGAAAATGCTCAATTAATTCTCTAGGTTAATAAAATTATGTGAGAATTTACATAAAGAGGAGAATCATTGTTAATTCTCTAGCTCTATTTATTTCTTCCATGTAGAAATAGATAATTAATGCTATGTTTGACAACCCAAATAAAAATCACAAGTACACTATATTTCAATAGAATAATTAATCATACAAGTCATAATCAATCTATCTAGGTGAAAATTATCCTAATCAAACAATCTTAATGAACGCAATAAGCTAAATTATAAGCATTTTCTAGTCTCTAGTTAACTAAGTAACTAATAACTAATTATGTAAATTAGCTTTAAATATCCATATTCAAACACTATTATAACCAAATAAATTGAGATTTGAAGTTACTTCAAACAAGATTCTAAGTCCAATACACCCACCTAGTCAAGATTAGATTCGCCTCATTGGTAAAAAAGAATCGAGTTCGAGGTGGCTCAACCAAAAAGCTAGACTTTGTTTGTTTTACATGAAGTCATCCCAATTTTGAAAATTTTCATGCATTATTCCTTTTAACTAGAAAACTACAAACAAGCTGGGCTTCGTTCGTTTTAAAGCAAATACTCATTAAACCTTATCATATAATTTAACCAGTAACTGAAACTTAACATTTCTTGTAGCATTCTGATCTAAATCTATTCATAAAACCCCAGAGGATAAGCCTAACACATCATATTATTTGATAAGAACTGCACTTTCTGACAATTTAATAAACATAGAGCTCGTTATTTACTTAAGTTAGAATTCCACCCTAGCCATGAATCAAAAGATGAAAAAATCAATAGGAAGTATACTATTGATTTGGCCAGGCTTGAAGGAAAGAAACAAAAAAAAAAACAAAGAGGGACTAACCTTTCAAAATCGTGCTACTCAACATGTTCGAACCGACCAGAAACCGTCAACCCCCTTCCTCGTGTATTTTCCAATCTTGGTCTCAGCCCCCTGCCTATGTCGTCTCATAGCCTCTCAGATTCTCTATAATCCTACAGACAAGGAATGAGAAGCCCGAAAGCCTTCGTCTGTCCTAGAGCAAAACATTAGCGGAAGAAAAGACCGTCGTAAATGAGTTGCGCTCGTTGTGAACGGAATTCACTTACACTAAAATGTAGCTTTATGTAAAACTAGAATACCCCATATATTCATCAGATTTTTATTTACAACACATCAAACATGAAAATTTTAAAAATTCATGTAATTAATTTACAGTACATCACAAAAACTGCCAGCCAAACATCTCCATAGCAAACTTATTAAGCATTTGGACTCACTTACTCCTAGAAATGCATTACATGCAATAGGACTCGATTAATTAAAACTTAAAACATGTTTTTATATACTCGGAAATTTTGGCCTCCAAGAAATGATTATTAATTGCTATTTTTCCCTAACACCAGAACAGTACAAGACAAGCTCATGAACAGCAGTGTAACATTGCAGTTTTTATTTCCAGCGTTGTGAGTACCTTAATCCTTGAGGGTAAATTTTCCTAGGAAGTTGCTGCCCAGGTTTCCCAGGTAGAGGTGACCTTCATTCTCTAACGCTGAAGTTACAAAAGAAATCGTTTCTCCATTATAATCATCGAACATCCTTCTGATCTTCCCATTCGAGTCAACATTGACAACAACGGCACTTTTAAACAACATAGAAGGGAGCCGTTCAACGGCCCAGGGAAATGCTGCTATTACTAACTTCGCTAATGGCGATGAGTGTATCAGATCCAGCCACCATGATCTTATCTGAAATCAACCATTTCGTCAGTTATAGTGATTGCGTTAACCACTGAATGAAGAAAGAGTAT